CAAACACCTGGCATCATGCCTGTCACATAGGAGGCCCTTAATAAATGCTTGTTGAACTGAAGATTTGCCTGAAAAATAAAAGCACTTGGAGGTCTTTTGCTCATTTTTAAAATAATTGACCTTGTGGTATGGCCCTGGTTCTCAGAATTTTCTTCAGAATATTTTTTCTGATTATATTGTATTCTTTTTTTTTAAATGGTGTTATATTTTCTCTCGGACTCGTAAAAATGATAATGCCTGAGAATTCTCTCCTTCATTATCTCTGCCTTCTGGCTTTGCTTCTTTAAGTCTCAGATAAAATTCCATCGTCTGCAAGAAGCATTTAAGAGTCTTCCCTAATGTTAATCTCTTCTCTTTGAGATTACCTCCAGTTTATCCTGCACATATCTTGCTTATACACGGTTGTTTGCATGTTAATTCCTTCCATTAGACTGTGAACTCCTTGAGGTCAGGGACTGTTTTTGTCCTTTTTTAATATCCTGGCACAGTGTCTGGCACATAGTAGGTACTTAATAAATACTTGTTGACTTGACCACATGGATTGGCTGTCCATAGGTAATCAGGATAGAACCTCATAAAAAGTCCATATCATAGAAGGCCAGTACTTAACCATGGACAGGCCTCTGAGTCATCAACTTCTTTCCCTGGTGTTTAGAGATTATAGCAATATTTTAATTTAAGTTTCCCAAAATGAAAGTCTTGCTACCAATTCATCTTGGTCTCCTTTATCCATTTTATAAGGGAAACTGTGGCCCTTAAGTGGTCTGAGATAACTTACTCAAGGGCATCTACACACCCATGAAACAAAGAGAGAGTGAAATCCTCCCTTATGATAGTAGTTCTTACTGTGGACCTCAGGGCTTCCAAGTGGTCCTTGACTTGGCATCTTATGTGTCAAACTATAGGTTGTTCGTGCTCATGCTCATGCTTATAGGTTGTGTCATACTATGGGCTGCTCATGGCATCATGAATTAGTGATCTACAGATATTGTATCTAATAAAGACAATTATCTCATTGGTGTCATTGACAACAAATCAATCTTTCTGTTCTGATAAGGCTGGTGGGATTGTTCTGTTTGTCTTTTTTAAAAAGTGGCTAGCAGAAGTGGAAAGACTGGTGTGAAGACTTTAAAACTTGAGAAACACTGTTCAGGTCACTAATGTTAACTTCCGTTTGGTTTTCATGTGCCCAGAAGGCTATTTTCATTTAGTTCTTGCTCTGTAGTTTATGTGAAACAGTTTGAAGCCTGAAATACGCTATCCACTTGGTCTTAGTAATGTTCAGAAAATTAACGCGAGCCACCAAAATCTCAGTGGTTCCTATAAATTGAGCTTTCTTTTCATTATTTGGGAAAATCTTTTTGTGATACTGAAATGGGAGAGAGAAAAAATTCGGTTGCCTCAGGCATTGTTCTGGTGCCTGCTCTTTAGATCAATAGAAAATTCCATTTCCCTGTGCAAGAATAGCAGGATCTTTTGCTTATCTCCAGCCAATTTAACAAATGTTTATCCAGATAATATGGTTTGTCCAAACGATCCCAGGATTGGGAGTCAGAACATGGAAGTACATTTATGGATCTTTCACTGAATTATTGCTTTCGGCCAGTTAAATGTTTGAGAAATGATGGGATAGGACTCCAGTAAGTAAAGTTGTGAGTATTCTTCAGATAAACACTAGAATCATTGGCTCTCATAGGGTTGTATGGGACCTCAGAGGCCAGCCAGTTCAATTGATATTTAAAAAAATAATCTTTCTTTCAATGTACCTGTTAAGTTACTTGTCATCCAGCTATTGCTTAAGATACTCTAGTGAAGGAGAACCTGTTAACCTTGTGAGCAAGCCTGTTCCATTTTGGGGTATTTCTTTTGGACTGGGCCTATGATTTTGTTGGTGTGGGGAACTCCCTTGGGGAATTTTCTTGACCAATGCCGATTACTGTATGTTGATATTTATAGGGTTGGTGAGTTGTCCAGGGCTCTGCAGAGGTTAAGTTACCTGTCCAGGGTCACATAACTAGGATGTGTCCCAGGGAGGACTTGGCCCTTCCCAACTTCAAGGTTCTCTGTCTATTCTGCTAAGCCACCTTCCAGCTCTAGCTCTTAGGAAGGTTTTCCTGATGTTACAACTGAGTCTTTGTCATTGTAATGTCCACCTGTTGTTCCTAATTTTGGTCTTCTGTCTCCAGAGTTCCCATTCCTTTTCTGTTTGACATCTCTAGATATTTGAAGGCAAGATATCACATCTGCGTGAAGCACAGAAACTAGCCCATAGTACAGGCTTAGTAAAACTATTTTGGATGAATACATAAAGTCTTCCCCTCTTTAGGTGAACCATCTTCAGTTTCTTTGCACACAAAAGAAACCCTTTGAAAATGGAAGGTGGTCTAAAAAGAAGACTAGAGAGTGGAGCCAGATGTTACCAGCTGTTGGAGTGGCTGGTGGGAGAGATGCTTGTCAGGCTGACATTGGCGCCATTTCATTGGTGTTTGGTTTCCTGGCTGGCCACCTGGCTCCTCAGCCATCAGTGCTTGGCCTCAGGGTGGGAATCTCTCTTAAGAGATTTCTGAGAATTGCAGGGTCCATCCCAAAATGTTGAGCTGATGGGTTTCAGAATTAACCCCAGCTTACTATCTGGCTCTGACTAGCTAAGGGCTGGCTGCTGGGCTACATTGAATTTGCAATGCTATCTTTTGATCATTTGAAGTCTTTACCTTCCCCAGCCTGAAATAATTACATATTAGAGGCTCTCCAAGTGATGTCCCTATTCCCCTCTGCAAATCAGAAGCATTTTGAGGAGCTGCAAGCCAGCAGAACATCAGAGCTGGGCAAGTGAAAGGAGAAACACAAGTTGTGTTTTGGTAAATATTAGCTTTCAGTACTTTAGGGATCCAGACTGGGTGTTTCTTTAAGGTGGATAGGCTATGATGTTAATCTTGTCTGTGAAATGAAGGGGTTTGAGAAGCAAAAATTAAGAATTAAAAGAAGAGGTAGTTTGGAATTTGGGAAGGAAATTTGAACTCTCTCTGCATGAAATAGATTAATTTTGCTAATATCCATCCCTCCTGGAGTTACTTTGTATATACTACATGTTTCTATGTTGTGCCTACCCTAGATTTTAGCACTTTGAGGGCTGGGTCCATTTGTCATTTTTGGCTTTGTGTCTCAAACACCTGGCATCATGCCTGGCACATAGGAGGCCCTTAATAAATGCTTGTTGAACTGAAGATTTGCCTGAAAAATAAAAGCACTTGGAGGTCTTTTGCTCATTTTTAAAATAATTGACCTTGTGGTATGGCCCTGGTTCTCAGAATTTTCTTCAGAATATTTTTTCTGATTATATTGTATTCTTTTTTTTTAAATGGTGTTATATTTTCTCTCGGACTCGTAAAAATGATAATGCCTTTCTTAAGCAATAACTCAGACTTATAGAGTGTTTTGCAAAGCACTTTCCCTTACAACAACCCACTCAGACAGACTGTGTAAATATTATAAACATCATTTTAAAGATGAGAAAACAGAGGCTCACAGAGCTCAGGATGATGTAGTTAAATGGCAGTGCCAGGACACAAACCCTAGGCTTTTCTATATCTCTGTGACCTTGGGCAAGTTACTTAACTTCTCTCAGCCTCAGTTTCCTCATCTGTAAAATGAGTAAGTTTGGACTAGATGACCTCTGAGGTGCCTTTTAAATCTAGATCTAGGACCCTATGATTCCTAAGCCATTTCCTTTTTACCCTTTGTGTCTACACCAAGGTGTCTAAAGTGTCCTGTAGACCCATCCCATTCATTTTTGAACTTCCCCTGCAGGTTGCAAGGGTGATGCTGAGGTTTGGAGTTGGGAGACTCTATAACAGGTTCTGCTTGACATCTCCCTGTAGCATATAAAACAATTTGTCCAAAGCTGGTGGGGAGATGGGAGGCGGGAGGAGGGATTATTTAAAATACATAACTCTGTGGCTTATCCCCATCCCTCCCAACATCTAAATATACAAACATGAGTTAGGATGCTGGCATTAAACCTTTCCTCATGTGTGGAAATGAACCTGAGAAGGCCCAGCATTACTCCATTAAGACTTTTCCATGAGTCCTTTTCTCCTATCCTGTGCCAGAGATTTGCCAAGGGAAGAGGCTATGACTTGATAAACAAATAACAAATTAGACAAGCTCATCTTTCTAACTTGAGAGTTCTCTGAAACGTGATGAGAACATGTCTTTCTCATGTTCTGGTGCTTCTTTCTCTAGCTCACTGCCTAAGCTCTCCCCTTTGATTCTAAATGACTCATTGTCTGTTGTGAAAACCATTCCATGCTAATCTCCGTGAAATTACTGACAAATGACTTTGCAAGGCATACTTAGCAACTCAGTCTCAGCCTCAGTTTCCTCATCTACAGAATGAGGAGGTTGACGCAGATGACCTTTCAGGTCCCTCCTGGTCCCGCTGTTGTGTCTTTTAAGGTGTCTCATAGCTTTCAAAGGTCTGATGCAGCCTTGCTGGTGCATCTTCTTAGGTCCTCTCCAACTTTGAGATTTTCTGTTCTGAGAATCCTCCTAGACTTCCTGTTATGTGTGTGTGAAAGTCCCTTCTAGTTTCATCTTCTGTCTTCCAAGTTCCCCTAGCTCATTCTCTTTTTTTGTCGGTGATTCCATTCTGTATGGAGACCATTCTATTCTCATGTTGTTCTATAATGTTAAAGATGCTTGCTTTCCACAGATCATAAAACTTTACAATCCAAGTGAATATTCTTTTTGGTTTTGTCCTTTTTTGTAGGGACCGGATTTAATAGACATCTTTGTAATCTTAGTTATGAAAGATGGGAGGGACTTTTTATTCCTGGCTTTGGAAAAGTTGAGGGAAAAGCTATCAGAGGAAAACCTGTTGCACGCATAACATGTAATAAAAATATTAAGCTGCCATTTATTCTGCATTTGGTCTTTATTGGGGTTGCCTTGGCCAAGAATCCCACTTCTCTGATCTTTTTGTTTTTTGTTTCTTTTCCCAGATCTAGAAATGACTGGAGATTTAAATAGTGATGATTATGAATATGAAGATGAAGCCAAGCTTGTTATATTTCCAGACCACTACGAAATTGCATTGCCAAATATAGAGGAGTTACCTGCCCTGGTCAGTGGATGTGGACTGCTGATATAGAGATAGAGATGGCTGTGTGTGATTCCAACTTGAAACTGATCTTTGGGAGACGTGTGTATGTATGTATGTATGTATGTATGTATGTATGTATGTATGTATGTATGTGTTTCAGAGAAAAAAATTGCTGAGTCTTTTCCCTGTAAATTCTATTGAATCCAACAGGCATTTATTAAGTGCCTACTGGATACTAGGCACTTTGCTAGATTTTGTGGATACAAAGACAAAAGAACCGAAACAGTTCTTGCCTTCAAGGAGTTTACATTTTACTGGGTGGGTGGGGGGAGGAAATTTGGACCCAGAAAAACAGAATAAGATGGAAAAAGGTACTTAAAAAGAAATGCAGAATGTATACCATGTAACTTAAGAGGGAAAGAGCATTAATGACTGAAGGAAGCAGGAAAGGCTCTGTGTGGAAGGTGAGCCCGGAAGGGAGCCAGGGATTTGAAGGAATCCTTAGGAAGGAAGAGTGTAGCCTGTGCACAGACACGGAGGGAGCAGATGGAGTGTCATATATGGAGAACCCAGAGTGGACTGGAACTTAGAGTGCATGATGGGGAATTATTAGTGTTTTAGTATTTTTTTCTTCCTGAAAGGTCTTGGTAGCATCTGAATGTCAGGAGAGGCAAGACTTACCTTTTCATGAATTGTTTCTATTGTGCTACAATGGAAAGAACACTGTCTTTGGAGTCAGAAGACCTGAGTTCAAATCTTGCTTCTGATGCTTGCTCCCTGTGTGTCGTTGGGCAAGGTACTGAACCTCACTGGCCCTCAGTTTTCTCATCTACAAAATGAGGAGATTGGACTGTATGGGATCTTTGGACCTTTCTAGCCATGGCGCTATGATCTGATGATCTGTTCCTTGGGAGAGCATTCTGTTTAGTTTTGGTTTCCTGATTAAAGAGTCTGTCTGAGGACAGGCTATGCCAGTCATTGCTCAGGCCTGCCCGGATTCTGGGTGGAACTAAGACCAGAGGCCATGGACCTATGACCACGTCCACCCTCATGAAGAAGGAAAATGGAAGCCGAGGCTGCTGCTCATCTCCCTTTCTATTTCTTTCCTGTTTTTCCCCACATGGGCACAATGTACGTTGCAAGCTTTAAGGCACAATATAAATGCAAGTTATTATTATTGTGTTGTGCCCTGTCTTTGGTTATTGCGCTTGACCTGACCTAAGTATTTGAAGATGGAGCCAACTGTACCTCAGCTGTAATTCCATTTCCCCACATCTGAGCAGTTGTGCTCAGCTCCAAAGAAGAGCCCTTTCAGTTTGCTCCCCTCCTTTTTCTCTTCCTCCCTTTCTCTTCATTTCCTCTTCTTATTCTTTTTTTTCAGCAGTTGGGGTTAAGTGACTTGCCCAGGGTGACACAGCTAGTAAGTGTCAAGTGTTTGGTCTGAGGCCGGATTTGAACTCAGGTCCTCCTGACTTCAGGGCCAGTGCTCTATCCACTGTGCCACCTAGCTGCCCTTCCTCTTCCTCTTCTCAAGAGGCAGCATGGTCTAGTCCAGAGGTGGGGAACCTGTAGCCTCAAGGCCACAGGTTGCCCACCCCTGGTCTAGTCAAAGAGAGCCAGACAAGAAATCATAAAGATCTGAGTTCAAATCCTGTCACAGGCACTTTGTAGCTCTGTGACTCTGGGCAAGTCAGTTAACATCTGTTAGCCTCAGTTTCCTCATCTGTAACTCTCATAGGGTTGTTGTGAAGATCAAATGAGATAATGTATAAAACATCATATACAATATAAAAATGTCAATCATTATTAATAATCTTTTCCCTGCTGTTTGGGTTCTTCTTCCTTTCCTCTTTTCCTCTCTCCCCTCTTCTCTCTCCAAGGTCTAAAGGGGCAGTTGAGGGTTATGGAGGGAAAGTCAGGAAGTCCAGGGTATATCCCTGGACTTAAGAGTTAGAAAGACCTGAATTTGAATCTATCTCAGATTGTTAACTAGCTCTATGTGACCCTGGACCACTTCACCACACTGTGCCTCAGCTTTCCTATCTGTAAAATGAGAGGATTGGAATTGATGACCTCTCAAATCCCTTTTAAGTGTAAATCTATGCTCCTGTGATTGAACCAAATTTTTCTAGTTTGTGTTTTCCTTTCCTTTCCTTTCCTTCCTTTGAGCCTGACTTAACCCAGGACCATGCATGCCTGCCAGGGCCTAGAGTTTTCTGGACAGCATTTCCCAGCATGCTCAGACACCTGTTCACTCCTGCTTGCCAGGAGGGCAGATTTATATTTTGTGAATCTGGGTTTCTTAGACACTAGGTTAGAGCCAGTCATTCACTCTCTTTTTGCCTTTGACCTACTTGTAAGGAAAGCCAACTCTGGGAAGAGCAAAGTTTGTGTGTTTTGTTTAGATATTGCAACCAGGCCTTGTTTTCTTTGTTCATTTTCAAAGTAGACTGAACCACATGGTAGGTGCTTAAATAAATGCCTGCCTCAGACATTAACCCTGGGGCTAATCCCCTAATGCCTCAGTTTCCTCATTTTGAAATAGAAATGTAACTCAAGGGATTTTGTTGTGAAGTTTACATGAAATAATGTATCTAAAATGGAATGCAGCTAAATGTATCTAAAATTGGAAACTGTAATGTGGTATGTAATTGTCAGCTATTATTACTATTGTAATTGTTGCTAAATTTATCCTCTGATAATTCAGACCAAATAGTAATAGCTAGCTTTTCTATAGAACTTCAAAGTTTGCAGATTGCTTTACAAGTATTATCTCCTTTGATCCTCACAGCAGCCCTGCAAGGGAGGTGCTACCATTATCCCTATTTTATAGATGAAGAAACTGAGGCAGATAGGGCTGAAGGACCAGCCTGGGGTCAGACAGCTAGTATGTATCTGAGGGTAGATTTGAACTCAGTCTTCCTAACTCTAGGTCCAGCACTCTATCCACTGAACCACCTAACTACTTCTCTAAATAGATATCAGAGTTTCATGTACAGTCGTCTTTTTTGTTTTCTGTTCTATGTTATGGAAATGCTTGTTTTGTTTCTTAAGTTCAGAATAAAATCAATAAAATAGAAAAAAGTATATATATGTATATGTGAACAACAGAAAGATAAAATGCAGGGACTTTTTGTCTGTCTTGGTATCATCTTGTGCTCAGCACAGTGCCTGGTATATTTTAGGTACTTAATTAATACTTGATTTCTCTGAAATAACACTAGGGCTCCTATATCATTGTAAGCTTAGTGTAAAATTTCTATAGGCATTCTTTAAAGCAGATTTTAAATATAGATATCTGCCTTTAGAAGAAAGGAGAAATAATATATCATAAATAAATGTTATATTTTTTTATGTCTTCCATTAACCTCATATCTACATGGAAAAACAAATTAGTTGTGAAAACCCTTTATCCTTATTTATATTTCAGATATAGATCAGTATCCAGCAATATGAGCAGCTAGGTGGCACAATGGATAGAGTATTGGGCCTGGAGTCAGGAAGATCTGAGTTCAAAATCTGGCCTCAGACACTTACTAGCTGTGTGACCCTAGGCAAGTTGCTTAACCCATTTGCCTCAGTTTCCTCATCTGTAAAATGAGATGGACAAGGAAATGGCAATCCGGGTCCTCTAACTTTTACATTAAAAGCATTTTTCTCTTTTTACAAATGTTTATTTGCTGCCTTTGAGGGTTTCGGCAAGACTCCTTTTGCTATTCCAAAAATGAAAATTATTGAGCTTAGAAAGACCCTAACCATCCAGCAGTGTCTCCTTTATCCCTTGACCTCCCCATCTGGGACACTTCTTCCGTGTTAGGCACTCAATTTTAAAACAGAGTTTTTCTAACTTGGGCCTTCCTTATGATAACTTAAGGCAGGCAAGTGTAAGAGAATGAACCCTAGGAGGAATAATCCACATTCCCTTTTTAGAATAATGGCTTAAAGAGCTGTGATCCAGGAAAAGGACCAAATGCCATTTTTTCTGTTTTCTTGAAAATATTGACCTCCTATGCCACCATGACTAGGAATATGTTGGCCATGATCAAGAAGTGCATTTGAAGATATTATACCTTATCCTGGGTGCTGGGGGACTTGGGTCCTAGGCAAATAAAATGGAAGCTCTTTGAGGACAGGGCCTATTTTCATTTTGGTCTTTGGATCACCAACATCTAGCCCAGTGCCTCGAACACAATTGTTGTTGAGTTGTTTTCAATCGCGTCCGACTCTTTACGACTCCATTTGGGGTTTTCTTGGCAGAAATACTGGAGTGATTGGCCATTTCCGTCTAACACAGTACGTGATACCTTTTACTTAAAACCTATGTTGAGACCCTCCCTATTCATCTCATTTAATTTGTATGTGTTTTGTATATGCTTATTTATGTATGTATCTCCTCCGATAGAATGTGAGCAGGGACATTTCATTTGACTTTGCAGTCCCAGCAGTAGGTGCTTAACAAATTCTTGTTGATTGGTTAATAACTGTTTGTTGAATTGTATTGAATTGTCAGATCTGCCCATGATATATTTTTTTAAAAAATGAGACTTACAGATGGCTTTGATTTTTATATTCTAGTCATTGGGTTGTACCTCCCTTCCTACCCTCCCCATCTCACCTCCCTCCTAGAATGGAACTAGGAATAATTTAAATGACCACTGGGTTGGGGTCAGAGTGGGAGAACAGTGTAGCATGGTAGGCTCGACTAGAAAGATTAGGGCATTCAGTCTGGAAAAATGATGGCTTAGAAATATGTGTATGCATATATGTATATATATATTACATATATGTATATACATGTATATATGTGTATATATCCTTATCCTTTCGTATCTGTCTGTCTGTCTAGCTATCTAGAAAGCATTTATTAAATATTTACAAGATGTCAGACACCTTGCTAAGCATTGAGGATGCAAAGAGAAGCAAACCAGATGATCTCTGCCCTCTAGGACCTTTAGTTCTGATGGGGGAAGACAATTTATGAAAGGGAGGTGGAAAGTCTGAGGGAGGAAAGGGAAAGGAAGGGAAAATCTTGGGAGGCGGAAGCTGAGAAGTCAGGATGGTGAGGATGAGTCCAGGAAATGTACTCAAAGTGCATTAAATCAAGGAGGGTATTTGTAGGTGAACATGGACTCATTAATCCAGTGTCCAAGAGTCATATAATCATAGATTTAGAGTAGGAAAGGATGTTGGAGGTCATAGACTTAAGCTGTAGGGCATTCTCAAAGGCTTGAAAAACAGAAGAGTTGAAAGGAAGATGGAATTCATATTAGTAAATGTGCATCTTATGAAATTTCTTATCTCAAGATGATATAGAAAAAAATAGATACCTTTTTAAAAACCTAGGAATTAATGAATAGCCTCTCTATAATGGATTAATAAGGAAAACTAAGGTGTACATGTCCAGGGGAATGACAACCATGCTTTTTGCACAATGGGCTTTTCGGCCCTTGACAGAGAAAGGCAGCAGACGGGCAGGGGGGTGGGGAGGGAGAAACGTTTCTATAGCACCTACTATGTACTAGGAACTATGCTAAGCACTTTACAGATATGATCTTATTTCATCATCACAACAGCCCTTCGAGGTAGGTGCTGTTATTATCTCCATTTCACAGGTAATTTGTCCAGGGTCATACAGCTAGTAAGTGTCTGAATCTGGATTTGAACTCAGGTCTTCCTGACTCTAGAGCCAGCACTCTGTCCACTGCCTCATAAGGGAAGGATGGATAGAGCCTCGATTTGAGTCAAAATGGTAGGTTTTTATCAATCAATTAGTACTACTTATCTACAGTATCCTCCAATAGCATATAAACTTCTTTGAAAAATGATTTGATTTCATTTATTTTTGAGAATGGGTCTCCCAATCTCACCAGGCTGGAAGTGCAGAGACCACTCAGACTGATTCCACTACTGATTGGCATGGAAGCTTGGACCAGCTCCATCCTGACCTGGGCTGGTTTGCCCTTCCTTAGGCTCTCTGGGGCCCACCATATTGGTGCCAGACTTCGTGCAGACCCCTGGGTGGCTTTAGCCCTCCTGCAGCTCAGAACTCCTAAGCTCAACTGATCTACCAGTCTCAGCCTCCCCAGCAGCTGGGATTACAAGTGTGCCCCACCACGCCCAGCAGCATATAAACTTCTTAAGAGTAGGGACTGTTATCATGGTTTTCCTTGAATCCTCAGTGCCTAGCACAGTAGATGCTTTAAATAAAAATTTACTGAATTGAATTAGGTGCTTTAGGGAATACAGGAAAACTAGAAGATTGGTAGACTGCCCTTGGGGAACTTAGAATTTAGTGTTTAAGACCATAGATTGAGCGTTAGAAAGGATATAATTTTCCAGATGAGGAAACTGGGACCCACAATGGGGAAAGTAATAATAAAAATTGATTCAAATCTAAGTCTTCTGCTTCCGAAGTCTGCACTTTTCATTACACCACTACCCTTAGCACTCATGAAATAGGAAATGATGTCAGCACTACATGGTGTGGGGGGAGGCACACGGGAGTTCGGGAAAGAGAGGGATGTTTGAGAGAAGTGTAATTATGTTCTTCGTATTTTATTTTATTTTTTTTGTAATTATGTTATTAAGGTTTCTAGCAAATTAGAATTTTTTGCTTACTTGACATAATATGGTCTTTTCTGACATATGATGGGAGCTGTGATCTGACTAATGAGGTGTCCTTTTTGGAGCAGTAGAGGCAAAGATCAGGTTAGTGCCAAGCCAGCCTTCTCTGGACTGATGGGACCATTGGCTGCCCAGGGTGTAAAGGGACCAGGGATGAGTGCCTCTATCCAGGGTCACATTTGTACCCATTGAGAACTGGAATCGTGGCCGAACTTTCCAGTCTCAGTGTGATTGAGAGCATATGTTGCTCGCTTGGGGCAAGTTTAGGAAACTGTTCTGAATGCTGGAAACAAGATCTAGGTCAGTTGAGAGGGAGGAGCCTGGTTCACTTGGTAAATCTGAGGATTGCCTGTTTTCCCTTTCACTCTGGTCATTAGTTGTGTAGTGCCTGCTGCCCAGGGCAAAATGAGATGGGGCAAAGACTCACCTTGAACTTATGAAAAGAGGCCAATGGTGAGAACTGACCAACTTGGGCATGGTGTGTGCTCTTCATTGGGAGTCCCTCTCATCTAGGTGCCCTTCTATCCAGTCACACAATCAACACTCTCCTACCAGCCCCTATCACCTTTCTTCGGGACTATTGAAATAGCCTTCTGGTTGGTCTCTCCTACTCCAATCCATACCCCACTCAGACGCCAAAGTGATTTCCCCAAAGCACAACCTGACCAAGTCACTTCCTTCTAGTCAATAAATTCTATGGCTTCCTGTTAAATTCAGCATCAAATACAAATTCCTCTTTGACCTTGAAAGTTCTTCTCAATCCAGCCCCTTCCAATTTTTTCTAGTCTTCTTATACTTTTTTATGATCCATACTCTATGATTTAGCTACACTGGCCTACTCTGTGTTTCATACACACAATACTCTATCTCCTGTCTCTATGACTTTGCGCTGGCTCTTCCCCATGCCTGGAATACACTCTCTTCTTGTCTCCACCCATGTCTTAGAATCCCTGATTTCCCTCAGGCCTCAACTCAATGAGCAGTACTTTCTGCAGAAAGCCTTTTCTGATGCCCCCAAATGTTAGGTCCCTCCTTCCTCAAATTACCTTGTATCCATTTTGAATTAAGTACTTAGACAATACAATTCTCATCCATTAGGATGTAAGCTCCTCAAGGGCAGAGGCTTTGTGCCCTTGGTGCCTAGCACAGTGTGGAGCACATAGAAAGTGCTTTAATCAGTCGTTGTTCATTAATTAATGACCTCTCAATTTAGAGCTTGGGGATTGGCTACTCCAGTTTCCCCATTTTATACAGTTGAGGAAGCTGAGACCCAGAAGAGTGACTTTTCCAAGATCACATGGCTAGTAAATATTTTAGGCAAGATTTGAACCTAGGTTTTCCTGACTGCAAGTACAGCACTCTATCCATCACACCATCCTGTTCTTAATAATAAATATAAAGTAATCCCCTGCAAGTCACTTAATTCTGTTTGCCTCAGTTTCCTTATCTGTAAAATGAGCTGGAGAAGGAAATGGCAAAGTACTCCAGCATTTCTGCAAAGAAAATCCCAAACGGAGTCACAAAGAACTGGACACAGCTGAACAGCATCGGCAGCAATAACACTAACAACAGCTCCTTGGGAGCAAGGGGAAGAGGACACCAGTGACTAGGGAAAATAGGGAAGGCCTCATGTAGGAGGTGATGTATATTACTCAGTTGCTTTGGGTTTTTATTGGATCTAATGGGCATTTATCAGTAAGATTTTCACTTTCCCTTTTGTAAGCTAATGGTTTTTATAGATCATACCTTGGTTTCTCTTGCAGGTAACAATTGCTTGTGATGCCGTCCTTAATTCAAAATCTCCATATAGGAAACAGGAGCCGGATTCCTGGGAAAATGAGCTGCAAGTTTCCAAACATGCCAATAATCTCATGCAACTGGACAATGGTGTCAGGATTCCTCCCAGGTGAGAGAGAGCTGCAGATGGTGAGAGGCAGCAGGGGGAGTCAGGGGGTGTTTCTGAGACCACCAGCCACATAAGGATGCTGATCTGCTATTGTAAGGTAGAGCAAACTTTCTTCAGCTTTCCATCAATACCACCTCTATCCCCCATTACTTACTTATCTGTTTACATCTTGTACCTTTCAATAGAGTGTAAGTCCTTGAGGGTGGCAACTATTTTCATTTTTTTGACTTTGTTTCTCCTATCACCTAGCAGAGGGCTTCAAGATAATAGGAATTTAATACATGTTTGTTGAATTTGAAACGAGTTACATTTGAATTTTTATTTATTGTGAACAAAGTCTTAGCCTTTCCATTAAAGTTACCTGTAAGAAAGACTGAGAAATTCTCTGTTTTTGAGAGAACATGATTCACTTCAGGATCCTACCTTATTCAGTACAAAAATTTGGTTCAATGAGTGTTTATTAAGAGCCTACCAGGTGGCAGCCAGTTTGCTGTATGCATATAAGGACAAAAAGCAAACACTCCTTTCAAGACATTCTTCTTTGGGATACAACTATACACCTAGTGGCTGGGTGTTCACAGTTGCAGTAACCTTGCTACTGGTGGACTGCATGAGCTCAAGAGTTCTGAGCTGCAGTGTGCTAAGCTGATTGAGTGTCTGCACTAAATCTGGCACCATTATGATGAGCCCCCAGGAGTTGGGGGGCACAAGGCTGCCTAAGGAGTAGCTTATTTATACAGTTGCTGTCATGTTGTGTCCCCCATTAGACTGTGACTTTCTTAAGTGTAGGAGGTATGCTTTATCTTTCTTTGTAACCCTAGCACTCAGCACAGTGCCTGGCACATAGCTGGTGCTTAAAAAATGTTTATTTTTATTTTTAATAATTTTTTCCTTAATTACACATAAAAACAATTTTTAAACTTTTTTCTTTTTTTAAAGTTTTGAATTCCAAATTCTGTCCCTCCCTCTCTCGCCTGAGATGGTAAGCAATCTGACATAGGTTATACACATGCAATCATGTAAAACATTTCCATTTAATAAATGTTTATTGACTGACTGATTGGCTAAGGAGAGATGAATTGACTCAGGCTGGAAATGGGCCAAAGCTGATCATTATTGGGGTCGACTCCATCGGTGTTCACTGCACCTCTAGCCTGGGCAAGAAAGGGAGATCTAGTCACAGAAAACAAATCTAAACAACCCCTTCCCTCGTGTATGCTGCATGTAGATGCCAAGAGAGATCAATTTGGAGTTAGAAAGACTGGTATAGCAGAAAAAGCCCTGGCTCCAGAGTTAGAGGACCTGGGTTCAAATCCCACCCTTAATGCTGACTGCTGTGTGACCTTGGGTAACTCATTTAAGCTACCAGGGCCTCAGTTTCCCATTATGTAAAATTAGGGTGCTGGACTAGATTGCCTCTGAGATTCCTTCTTGCTCTAGATATGTGTTCTTAAGATCTGAACTCAAATCCTGCCTCAGGCACTTACTAGTTGTGTGACTCTGGGCAAGTCAGTTAACTACTCTCAGCCCCATTTTAATCATCTTTAAAATGGGGTTAATGATATTAGCTATCTCACAGGGTTGTCAGAATCAATGAGGTAATGTATACAAAATGTTCTGTAAACCTTAAAGTGCTCTATGAATGCCAGTTATTATTATTATTGTCACCAACGATTATGTTGTTGATTGGCTGCCTCGAAATTTAGAGCTGGAAGGGATTTTGGAGGTTGACCACTCCAACATCCTTATTTTAGAGTTGAAGAAACTGAGACTTTAGGGCAGCTAGGTGGCACAATGGGGAGAGTGCTGGGCCTAGAGTCAGGAAGGCTAATCTTCCTGAGTTCAAATCTGGCCTCAGATATTTACTAGCTCTGTGATTCTGGGTAAGTCACTTAATCCTGTTTGCCTCAGTTTCCTCATCTGTAAAATGAGTCAGAGAAAGAAATGGCAAACCACTCCAGTATCTTTGCCAAGAAAACCCCAGATGGGGTCACAAAGAGGTGGGCGCAAATAAAAAACTGAGACCTAGAAGGGTGGGTTTTCCTTCTTGCCTTGTGTACTAGGATGGCCCCTGTCTTCATGTCCCTGTAAAATGAGATTTAGTTCTTATTATCACTTGACAAGATTAGGAATGAGACTCTTTATCCTTGTTTGGAAAGTTGTAGAGCTATCTACTGTGACAGGGCCAGCTCAAGAGGGCATCTTAGGCTACTGTCCCCATCCCTTTCCTAACCCCCCCCAATATTTGATCCTTTGGTTATAATACGGTGGAGAGAAATAGCCAGGGCAGCCTTGAAGGAGAAAAAGATGTATCCAAAGTGGGAAGGGGAGGGCAGCCTTCCTACTGCCTTTGATTTGATAAAAGGATTTACCAGGTTGTTTGGAAGTGGGTATTTATGAGCCTTGTGCCTTTTTTAAATCACTAGCTCTTGAGGAGTCTCCCCCACCTGCTGCTTCCCTGAGTCCTTGGCCAGCTGCCGGTCACTAGGGCACTGTGGGGCACCCATTTTGGGTTACAGCCCATTGCCCACCATGCCTGCTATTATTAGAGCACATTGGCTGAGGCGTCCCCAGATCAAAATTAACTGACCAGAAAGAGCCAAATAAACTCAGCCTCTTTGTCTTGGCTAGCCTAGACTTCAATCTCACCCGGTTTTATGACATTATTCAAAAAAATAGAGAAAACGTCACTTCCTCTCAGTTATTGATGAAAATCAATTGGGATGACATCAAGAATTAAAAACAAAATCAAAATGAATAAATGTATTCATCTGAGACCAGGACACACTGCATTTTTTGCTCTCTGGGTACAGGTAATGTCCTAAAATGATGAGGATTATGAGGGAATTCTGGATGGAATGAGGTTTAATTTATTTAAAAAATAAACTGAAAAAATCAAGTTATTTTCATTGGCATTTATTGAAATTCAGCAAACATTTATTGAGCCCCTGCTATGGGCCACGCAATGAACTGGGATCTGGAGATACAAACACAAAACTGAAAAGGGTCCTGCATTTATTAAGTACCTGCTATGTGCCAGCGTTATATTGGACTCTGGAGACTCAAAGACAGGAATGCAGTGGTCTGTGCCTGCAAGGAGATTACATTGTATTGGGGAGACCTAACATGTACACGAGGCCAGTGTAAAGAAAATTCAGGAAGGTGAGAGCCTTGGACTAACAGTGAGGAGTGGGTAGGAGGCATCAGGGCAGGCTTCACTTGGGCTGAGCCTTGATGGGAGACAAAGATTCTTAGTGGTGGAGATGAGAAAAGGGGAGCATCCTAAGGATAGTGGCAGTTTTCTGAAAATTCAAAGAGGAGAGTATTGGGGTAGCTAGAATATAGACCCTGGGCGAGTCACTTAACCTGTCTGCCTCAGTTTCCTCATCTGTAAAATGGGGAAACCTTGCATGGTCACTGTAAGGATCAAATGAGATAATATTTATAAAGCACTTAGCATGCTGCCTGGCACATAGTAGGTGCTATATGAGTGCTAGCTGTTATTGTTTATTTGGGTGCTCCTCTTTCTTCTTCACATGGCACTTCACACCCCCCATCTCCACACCTTTGCATTGGTCATGCCCTAGCCTAGAATGTACTTCTTCCTCACTTCCACCTACAGAGTCTCTCTCTTCCTTCGAGGCATATCTCAAGCACCAGCTTCTACATCAACCCTTTTCTGATTCTCTCAGCTGCTAGTGCCTTCCCACCTAAACTGGTAGTTAATTAGTTTGTGTTCATGTGTATTTTTCCTCTTTATACATTTTTCTGCATATACTTATTTACGTACATATACATGTAATATAGTTGTATTCTCTCTATATTTATAGGTGGCTTCCCATTTCAATGTAAGCTCCTTGCAAGTAGGAGATGTTTCATTCTTTCTATTTGTGTTTCTAGCACCCAACGGTGTCTGGAACAGAGGTATCTAATACGTGTTTATTGGTTGATGGGAGTAGTGTGGATTAAGGCTGGCAGGACTGGAGGGTGTCAGACTGCAGAATTCCTTAAATGCCCCACTAGGTGTTTGAATTGGATCCTGGGGAGCAGGGGAATGATGTTATCAGACTTGGGCCTTAGGAAGAAGTGAAGCATTTTTAAAAATGTTAAAAAAAAAAGGATTAAAAAAACCTTACTCCTAGGTCTTGTTCCATATTTCAAATAACTCATTCCATCTGCTACATCATATGCTTGCAAAGCTTGGAGAGGCTGTGTCCAAGTAAAGGTAATCAACCTGATTGTCTTGTTCTGGCTTCCCAAGGTGCACTCACCAGCCAGGGGGAGACAGTCTTGCATATGTTTGTCCTCAATGGTGTCCTTGACTCCTCTTCTTCTTTGGAGTTCCTCCTTGGTTATGCATCGCACCCAGATCGCACCTGCCAGGCACCTGTCCACTGCCCACAGTTACATGGCATGTATACTTTACAGCTTCCATGTGCCTCCTCCAGTTTCTAAGGGATCATTCTCTACCCAAACTTTTCTGCCTTGGGATGCTTAAGGCATTCAATTCAACAGATACTTATGGAGTGCCCATTGTGTGCAAGGGAGCCTGGTATGTGCTGTATGGGAAGTCACTAGTTGTCCAGGCATTCTGGAACAGAGGGTGGGTGTGCCTGGGAATTGTGGGAGAATAGCCACAGCTTCATTTTGTTTCAACCCTTTTTATGTGTTTCTTTATAAAACATATAAATCTCTTTTCCTGAGTTAATAACTAGAATATCATGAACACAAGCTGTCTTTCTTTGGTTGAAGACTGAGTAGTACCACAGGGGCCTCCCTCTTAATAGGTAAAGGAGACCAGGGTAAACTGCAGTGATCCCAGGCTATACCCTAGAAATCACCAGTCCCCTAGGGGCTGTTTTGAACTCGTTCCTGTGAACAGTTTCCGTCCCCTTCCCCCCCATGGGCTATGGTTCTGTTTTGTCTCTGCAAATTGGTTCTCTGTGTCTGGAACGCTCTTCCCTCTCTGCCTCCACCTTGTAGAATCCCTGGCTTCCTTCAAGGTATCACTCAGGTGAAACTGATATACACTTCGTATTTAATTATGTACATGCAGCTTGCCCTAGTGAAATTCAGATTAATCAAACAGGCCTGTTATTTATGTATAAAACTCTACAGTTACAAAAGTCACATAAAAATGGAGTCACCAAAGTAGCGGCCTTCCAATGGGGGCTCAGAACAGTTCCATCTTTGTCTTTGCATTGCAGTGCCACATTGTAGGTGTGTAACAAAAACTTTGCGAATTAGTATCGTGAATTTAGATCTGGGAATGATCCCAGAGACCATTTAGTCTAGAGATTCTTAGCCATTTTTATGTTATGGCAGCTAGGTAGCACAGTACATAGGGTCAGGAAGACCTGAGTTCAGATTTGCCTTTGAGCACTTATTTATCTGTGAGACCTTGGGCAAGTCATTTAACCTCTGTTTACCTTAGTTTCCTCATATGCAAAATGAGAATGATAATAGTACCTATCTCCCAGGATTGTTATGAGGATCAAAAACCTTTGCAAACCTTAGAATGCTACATATTGAAATGCTATCTATTATTATTATTGTTATTATGGACCCTGTCTAGTGAAGCCTATGGACTCCTCCGAACAAACCTTTTAAATGCATAAAATAAAATGCATAAGATTACAAAGGGAACTGATTATATTGAAATATTTATCAGAATAAAAAAGTTTCCAGACCCCAGGTTAAAAAACCCTGATCTAGTCTAAGAGGCTTGTTTCAAATGTGAATTGAAAGAATGTAGAAAAACATGGGTGAGTCAGTTTTATTTCTCAGTGCTGGAAGCAGCTCCATAAGATCATCAGTTACAGATGACTTGCTGATCTCTATTGATGGAAAGGGTTTTCACACTTGGGAGTTCCCTACACATGAAATTTTTTAAAAAGTCAGATTTGTGAGGTATCTGGGCTCTGCTTAATTAACACATGACTCTCTCTATTGTCAGTGTTTCGGAACTGCCATTGTTTTCCCTCTAAGGCCTTGAAAACAGATGCTGATTTTATCATCTCTATTTTAAAACTTGACCCAACAGTTCTTGCCCTCAGGCAGCATTTTTGGCCAGTGCCTTTCAGTCTTTTCCACCTAGTCATTCCCCAGAGGACATCCAGGAATGCCCCACATTCTAGGTCATCTTTCCATGGAAAGAAAATGAAAATGCTCAGGATACCTGGTCTATGCTCACTTTTCAGAGGGAAGGAATTAGGAGCCATGGAGCTGGCCTTGGGCTTCTATCAGAGTATGCTGATGAAGAGAAATCCTGTTTACAGAGAGGGGCAGATTGGACTTCTAATTCTCTCCAGTCTTCTGTGACCCCAGATTGAGAAGCCTTGCTTTAAAGTGTTCATGATGGATAATGTGGCACGAGACTTGGGATTCAGGAAGACCTTGTTTGATTCAAATACTTCCCTAGCTTTGTGACCCCAGGGGCTAGTCTCTTTAACCTCTCTGGGCCTCAGTTTCCTGATCTGTAAGATGGGAATAGTAATAGAACTTATCTCATGGGATTGTTGTGAGGATCAAATGAGGAAATATATGTAAAATGCTTTACAAACCTCAAAGCACCATAAAAATGTTAGCAATTATTTAAAAAAAAGAACTCTTGCTACCTTTTGTTTTCATTATCACATACATTTCCCAGTGTATCCTTTGCCCTTCCCCTGGGCCAATAAAAAAGAGAAAAATAAAGCTCACCAACACATTGAAAAAGTCTGATTTATATGCATTGTTTCCACATCCATTGTCCCAAAGTCTCTGCAAAGAAGGGAGGGAGGTGTCTCCTCACATCTCCTTTTTGGAATCAAGGGTGGTTGTTGTAATTTCCCAGTATTCTTTTTCCCGATTGTTTGTGTTGTGGTTGTTAATGTTCTTTCCATTTATGTTGTTGAGGTCATTGTGTACCTTGCTTTCCTGGTTCTACTTCCTTCCCTGTGCATCAGTTCATTGAGGTGTTCCTGTGCCTCTCAGCATTCATCAGTCCTTATAGTGCAGTAAGATTTCATTAATGTACCATGACTTGTTTAGCCAGCCTCCCCTGCACGCGCATCTAATTTGTTTCTAGTTTCCTACTCACTTTTTGCATTATTTTCTCTTTTAACATGTTTCTCTGTCTAGCGGCTGGAAGTGTGCCAAGTGTGACTTGCGGGAGAACCTTTGGTTGAATCTGACCGATGGCACCATCCTTTGTGGAAAGTGGTTCTTTGACAACATGGGGGGAAACGGGCATGCGCTGGACCATTACAAAGAAATGGGCTACCCTTTGGCAGTGAAGTTAGGAACCATCACTCCAGATGGGGCAGGTGAGTCCTTCAAGCTTTGGGATTTAAGGAATTAGGGGAAGGGGTGATGACAACAAGGGAAAGGCCTGTAAACCTTTTAGCATCATGCCAAGAGTGTGGGACTCTGGGTTGAGAAGACCTTGATTCAAGTCTGGCCTCTGATCCTTAACCAGAGTGACCTCAGCCAGTGGCTTAACCTCTCAATATCCCAAGAAGCTCTTTAAGACTATAATTTGGAGGCAAGTTGCTGATCTGTGCTGGTATAGGAAGTTTGCTCATCAGGAAGTTCCTTATAGCAGCAAAATCATAGCTTGGGTCTAAAAAACATAAATATATATTATGTATATATGCATATGTTTAAGGAAAAAGTGTGGTATAGTTGTCCTATGATGGCCTTGTAAGCTGTAAGGTCTATGTGTAAGTCTTGTCTGTGACACATAGTGGCTCTGTGACCCTGGGCAAATCATTCAACCTCTGTTTGCCTCAGTTTCTCATCAGTAACATGGGAGTAAATATAGCACTTACCTCCCAAGGATGTTGTGAGCACATGGCTCACAGTCTCTCACTGGGAACCCTTCTCAGACCTTGGCATCTCCATTTTCCAGCCTTCTCAATTGCCTCAACTTTCATTCAAGCACTTGGATGACACATTTGTCAGCATCGTCATCACCTCAGCTTTTGCATCTCCAAGGCCCCAAACTCTTGGACGTTCTCTTATCTGACCACCTCCTCCTTGCTCTTCCATCACATCTCCTGCCTCACTCCTTCCAAACCTACCTTTTGGTTTAGAGTATGAGGCAACATGGACCAGTGTGGCATGGTTCTAGGTGATTCAGTGTGCCTGGGTTCAAATCCTAACTTTGTGACCTTGGACAAGTCTCCCTCTCTGGTCTTTAGGTTCCTCATCTATAAAATGAGGGGCTAGACCACCTGACTTCCAAGGGGTCCTTTTCAGCTCTAAATCTCTGATCCTCTGTCTTTCTGGTCCATCAATTCCTTCCTATTGTATCAGGCCGTTACCCCATCTGGACTAGCACTCTCCTTACCCCAGGCTGACTGGTAAATTCTCAGAGATTTTGGTAAGCACTGTCCCAGTCACTGGCAAATTTTTTCTACTCTCCTTAGAGTAGATAGGCATTTTATTTCATTCCTAACAATATCCTCAGATGTTGCTCCCCATCCCCAAATAAATTTGGGTACAGTCTGTGTCCTGAAATCAGGTTTTGTTAAGTATTAAAATGAAGAGTGTATTGAATCCAGGCAGGAGAACCAAATGAGACCCACAGTGGCACTTCAGATTTTGAAAGAGATAGGGTAGAGGCAGCTAGGTGGTACAGTGGATAGCACACTAGCCTTTGAGTCAGGAGGACCTGGGTTTAAATCTGGCCTCAGATGCTTGACACTTACTAGCTATGTGACCCTGGGCAGGTCACTTAACCCTGATTTCCTCACAAAGAAAAAAAAAAAGAGAGAGACAGGGTTGTCATTTGAGAGGTAGCTTGGTGGGGAGGAAAGAATACTGCCTTTGGACTTGGCAGATTATGGTTCAAATCTTAGCTATACAATTCAGGGCAGATCACATAAGCTCTCTGGGCCTCAGTTTCCTCATTTATAAAATGAAAGGGGTGTACTAGTGGCCTTTGAGGTCCCTTCCTCCTTTAAGGCTATTGCCCAATTGGGAATCTTTCAGAGAGAGGATTGTTGGAATTTCACTTGTTCAAAAAATTTTTTTTGAATCGTCCAACTTTGTACTTCCCAAGCTCTAGGCTGATTGTTGGAAATTGCAGAGGGGAGAGTTTAGTTCTTAAACTAATTAGCATACTGACATTTAAATCATTCAATAATAGCACATAGTTTATTAAACTATGTTATTAAACTAGTTTTAAAAAGCCAAGTTTCCAGAATATCAATTTGTTGCTTTGCAAAGAACATGCATGCAGTGTCGAGTGGAATGTCATCTTTATTTATTGTTATATTTCTGGGACCATTTGTCCCCTGGGAATTTTTTTGGGGGGAAGGGGAAGGGGAGGGTGACAGGTGAGGAAGAATTATTTTCACAATACTCTTAATTGGGCTTCTTTTTGGTTAGCAGTAGTTTCCTTTTTTTGACTGGATCTATTATTTATTTGATGTAAGGGACTCTCAGTGAAGAAACTCTCTCTACCAACACAGATTGGCATCTTCTTTGTAATGTGTAGTCTTAGGACACTAAGCCACACTCACTAAGTGCTTGGCGCACTGAGAGGTTAGGTTACTTGCCCATTGTCACACAGCTCCGGTGCATCCGGGGCGGGACTTGAACCCAGGGCTCACCCAATCCAAGGCCACACTATCTCTTGAATTAAATTAAACTGTGTTTCTTTTTATTTGAAGACAGTCTAGGGAAAATGATTTTCAGTTTACTTAACTGGGAATTTAAAACCAGTCAGTCAACAAGCTTTTATTAAGTACCTGAGTGGTGGAGCCAGGTTTTGAACCCAGATCCTCTGACTCCAAATTTAGTGCTCTTTCCAGTGTGCCACATAAGCAGGACAGTTTCACTTTGTCTCTTTTTAGGTTGTTGTTCTGTTGTCTCGGTCATTCTGACTTTCTGTGACCCCATTTGAGGTTTTCTTGGCAAAGATACTAGAGTGGTTTGCCATTTCCTTCTCTAGCTCATTCTATAGATGGGGAAACTGAGGCAACCAGGGTTAAGTGACTTGCCCAGCATCACACAGCTGTTAAATGTCTGAAGCCAGATTTGAACTCAGGAAGATGAGTCTTCTTGACTCCAGGCCTTGCACTTTATGCACTATGGCGCCACCTAACCAACACAAGTACACACACACTCTCTCTCTCTCTCTCTCTCTCTCTCTCTCTCTCTCTCTCTCTCTCTCTCTCTCTCTCTCTCTCTTTTGATAATTTATTTATTTTTAGTTTTCAACATTTACTGCCATAAGATTTTGAGTTTTAAATTTTCTCCTCCTTCCACTCCTCTTCCCCCCCACCCCAAGATGGCATGCAGTCTAATATAGGTTCTACTTATACATTCATGTTAAGCATATTTTCCCATTAGTCATGATGTAAAGAACAATTAGAACTAATGGGAGGAACCTCGAGAATGAAGCAATAACACAAAACAACAAGGGAAAAGGAGAGCAAATAGTATGCTTCATCTGCATTCAGGCTCCATAGTTCTTTCTCTGAATGTGGATAGCTTTTTCCATCATGAGTCTTTTGGAGATGCCTTAGATCCTTGCATTGCTGTGAAGAGCAAAGTCTATGAAAGTCAGTCATTGCACAACGTGGCTGTGACTGTGCACAGCGTTCTCCTGGTTCTGCTCACTTCACTCAGCATCAGTCCACACAAGTCTTTCCAGGTTTTTCTGAAGTCTGCCTGCTCATCATTTCTTATAGCACAAAAGTATTCCATTACATTCATATACCACAACTTGTTTAGCCATTCCCCAATTGATGGGCATCCCCTCAATTTCCAATTCTTTGCCACCACAAAAAGACCTGTTATAAATATTTTTTGTACATGTGGGTCTTTTTCCTGTTTTTATGATCTTTTTGGGATACAGACCTAGTAGTGGTAGTGCTGGGTCAAAGGGGTCAATACTCTCAATCTCTTGTTTCATTCACTTACTGCTGTCTTGACATTATTTGTAGTTGAGGGAAGAGTCTGACAGATTTCTACAAATCTTTGTGTTGCCTGAAAATGGTTTGTTCATATTTCAAAGCTATCACCAGTAGGGGTGGTCACATTCTAGTGAATTATGTATGTCCTGGATGGCTTGGGAAAGTTATAGGTTTAAAATCACAAGCTTGTGAAAAGCTATCTCGCCTGTAATGAAAGCCACCAGCCTGATAAAGGCCATAACCTCATCTTTAGAGGGTGACTTCCAGACATCTCATACTCCTATTTCTTTATGTTCTCTTTGAAATTTTAAAGTTTTTTATGTCATAAAATGTTATTATTTCACATTTCTTGGGTCAAAAGTTTGTTTTGAATATTAAGTTTATTTTTTGAGGTTTTTCCAAATTAAGAATGGATAATTTTTTAAAGTTAGGCCTTTTGGTGATTGGGAAATGTATCAATTATTTTAAGAACCCCAAATTTAGTCTGGTTAAGTTTTTTTTTTTAATTTGTGGATGAAGAGAACTATGGTATAAATATTTTTATTCACCTGGTTTTAAAATTAAGACCATAGATCATCAACCTGTATCATAAATAGAGCATTGACATAATTTGGAGAAAAAGAGTCTTCAGGGAGACACGATAGCTATTTTTTTCCCCCTGTTTTTGGAACTGAACCTGTAATTTTGTTGGTGATGGTGTTGTGATTCAGCTATTTTCAGCTGTGTCTGACTCTCCGTGACCCCACTTGGGTTTTTCTTGGCAAAGATACCGTAGTGGTCTGCCATTTCCTTCTCCAGCTCATTTTACAGATGAAGAAACTGTGGCAAACAGGGTTAAGTCACCTGCCCAGGGTCACACAGCTAATAATTGTCTGAGCCTGGATTTGAACTCAGGAAATCGAGTCTTCCTGACTCCATGCCTGGCCCTTTCTCTACTTTGACGCTTAGCTGCTCCTTTCATTGGTGTAGAGAGCCTGAAATGAGGAAACTCATTCTACCAATACAGATCATCACCTCCTCTGCAGCTTACGGTCTTAGAGAATTGCCTACGGCACCAAAGTGTTAAGTGGCTTTCCCAGGGTCACACCCAGGTCTTTCTGACTCCAAGGCAGATATTCCATTTTCTGTGTCTTCCTCACCATATTTGAAAAGTTGTTATATGGAAGAGGGCTTAGATCAGTTCTGTTTGGTTCCCAAGGGCAAAAGTAGGAGTAGTAACTAGAAGTTACAAAAAGCCAAAACCTTTCTAACACAGGAGAGCTGCCTGAAAGGGCTCTGGGCTGCCTGGAGAAGCAGAGGGCTCCCTTCACTATCTCCAGTTAGAGACTGGATGACCTCTTGTCTTTAGTCTTGGAATAGGAATTCCTTCAGGTCTGGTTGGCCACTGCCCTTCTAACTCAGAAATTCTGTGAAAAAAAAAATTGTCTTTGGTTAAAAAAATGAGGTATATTCAGGAAGAGGGAGAAGGTAGTAGAGGGGGAAAGAAACGTGGAAAGGAGAAGCCATTTGGAGAAAGAGGAAGACACAAGATGGAGCCAGAGGAGGCCAGGGACCACGTCTTATCTGTGCAAGGCATTTATAGAGCTCCTACTGTGTGCCAGGCACTGTGCTGAGTGCTTTTTTTTTAAAACAAATATCTTATTTGGTCCTCACAATAACCCTGTAAGGTAGGTGCTGTCATCCTCATTTTACAGTTGTGGCAATTGAGGCAGATAAGAGTTAAGTGACTTACCCAGGGTCACACAGCTAGTAAGTATCTGAGGCCAGAATTAAACTCAGGTCTTCCTGATTCCAGGTTCAGCACTCTACCCACTGTAATATCAGCTGGATTAAATATCTGAATATCTATGTAGACACTGGCAATTTTTAATACTTTTTTCTTGGGGCCCAGGACATACTTTGTAGAGACTTTTTTTTGGCATTAGTGAAAATGTCAAGGAAAGCCAGGCATGGACTTGTGATTTGAAGCAGCTAGGGAGCTTGAGAATGGGAATTGAGTTTGGGAATTCTGGGTTGCAATGGGCTAGGCTGCTCTGGCATCCACACTAAGTCTGGCATCAATATGGGGAGCTTATGAGAGTGGTGAGGGAGTGGATCAGGGAGGGGGGCTGCCATATTGTCGAAGGAATGGCAAAAGTATCCCAGATTAGAAACAGAGCAAGTCAGAGAGTCTGTGCCAATCAGCAGTGGGTCAAGTGTATGACTATCCTCTACCCTTCTAACCTGGAAGAGATGGAAAGACTCAGTCTTTAGAAGAAAAGTCAAGGAAATTTATCATTGATCCTAATGGTTGTAAATTTCTTTTCCCCTTTGCAGATGTTTATTCCTTCCAAGAAGAAGAGTCTGTTTTAGATCCCCACTTAGCCAAGCACTTAGCACATTTTGGGATTGACATGCTTCAGATGCATTCGGTGAGAATGCCAGCCTTTGTTTACACCTTAACTTCCAGTGTAGTGGGTGGGAAGGTGGTGGCAGTGAGATTGTTGCATCTAATTTAAATATTCTTCTTCTTATGCAAATATTCATTATAATAAAATTTGAAGTTCTAATGATTTTTGTTTACAAATCCAATTATGTGGGCCAATCTACCCATCATCCCATAAGTATTTTTCTAAGTGCTTACTCTGGGCAAGGCACTGGGAATGTAAATACAAAGAATAAAAGAATCCCTACCCTCAGTGAGCTTACCTTTTAACAGAGGAGACATGAACCTATAAAAATATATGCTGAATCATATAAAGGCAATAAATATAAATAAATATCAAATAGTTAAATCCAAGGTAGTTGGAAGTTGGGAGAGGCAGCTAGCCTTTGGGGGGGGGCATTCAAGAAAGGCTTCATGTAGAATGTTAAAGCTGGATCTTGAAAGAAGAGGAAGCCTCTGAGGGAGAGCTGAGGAGGGTGTGTTTTACAGGCATGGGTGACTGGATTTAACTTGTTACTGGATTTAAAGATTAGATTTGTTTTTTTGTAACATGAATGGGAAATCAATATTGAATTTGGGGATGACTTTTTGATTCATTGGGATCAGCACTAGAATCTCCCCTTAATGTACTTAGAACCTCACTGCCTGGACAGTTAAATAATAATGCGATTAATAAGAGAATAAATAATAATGAGAGTAATAAGGTATTAAAAGAAGATGACCTTTGAAATTGTTGGCTATAACATACTTTAATCTCAAGATGAGTGAGTTGATTTCACTTAATATAAATAAAAAGTTAAAATAACCAGAGATCATAACTGGATGGAGATAACAAGAAAACACATTGTTAATGGAGAATCCTTGCCTTATTTTTACTCTATGACTATTCTATGGATGGCGAAATATCTACTTTAGACATGAGGTCACATGAATGTGGTATTTTGCTTGTGTTCAGACCTCATCTGAAGAATTGTATTCCATTTTTGGCTTTCTAGTTTAGAAGGGCGTTGGTAAATTGGAGCGTGTCCTGAGGACACCAGCATGGTAAAGAGCCTCACGTATGTCATATGAGGCTTGGTGGAACCAAAGGAGTCATTTGGTCTAACTTTTTCATTTTTTTGATGAGGAAGCTGAGCCTCATACAGGCTAAGTGACTTTAGGCTAGTAGTGAGCAGCAGAGTTGGCATCTCACCCCAGATCCTCTGATTCCGAATCCGATGTTCTTAGAATCATAGGAGAGATCTTGGTGACATGGTGTGTAGAGTTCTGGAATTGTCACTGAGTCACTTAATCTTCCTCAGCCTCAGTTTCTTTTTTTAAAATTTATTTAGTATTTTATTTTTCCCCAGTTACATGTAAAAACAATTTTAACATTTGTTTTTAGAACTTTGAGTTCCAAATGTTAGCCACAGTTTCTGTAGCTGAAAATGGAAATAATCATAATACCTCTTTCTCAGGATCGTGAAGATTAAAATGAGACAACATTAGGTAAAGTCCTTTGCCAGCCTCGAAGTGCTAGCTCAGTGTGAGCTATTACTAGAAGATGACATTGCTCTTTTTTTTTTTAATGCCTCTGTACCCATTGGTTTGGCTGTTTCCTCTTTATTTACCCTCCTTCCTCCCTTTCCCCACCCAAAAGAGCAGATAATTCCAGAAAGACTGAGTGAGTAGATAGACAAGGCCAGGTTCCCATCAGCAATCATTAATGATACCAAATTAATGAATGCCATTTAAGTTGTCTTTCTTTAACGATTTGGCACCTAGACGGAGAATGGCACAAGGGACAGTGATGTCAAACCCAGGATCAGTGAGTGGGAAGTCATTCAGGAGTCAGGAATGAAACTGAAGCCCATGTATGGCTCTGGATACACCGGGATGAGGAACCTTGGAAATAGCTGCTATCTCAGTGCGGTCATGCAAGCCATCTTCAGCATCCCTGAATTTCAGAGAATGTAAGTTTTGACGCTCCAGAGAATGGGATTTCCAGTGTTCTCTCTTGTACATGTAGTACCCACACTCCATCCTTATCTCTGGTACCTGCTCAGACATGGTGGATTACACTTGGCATGTGTTTCTGGAGCCTGGCGGCAGGGAGTGTAGGCAGTTTTCTAGAACGATGTTTCCTTTATATTTTGGACAGTTTTATAAAAATGATATACACATGAAGCTCTTTCTCAATATGTGTTCTGATTGAAAGAGCTGTAACTAGAGATGATTCTTGAAATTCATTTGAGACTAGAGGGGAGGAGATTGCGTATAGTATCTATGGTCTAGTCTTGAGTAGAATGATACCAGCTTGCCTCCTAGAAGAAAGTCCAACTCTTTCCCCTGGGAAAGTAGGACCTAGTAGAGAAGTAGCAGATAATGGAACCTGGGGGGTGATGGTCTGGGGGTGCTTGTGCCTTGTGGTGTTATGATGTGACAGAGGGCTATGAAGTTGTGAAGGAGCAATCAGAAATCATTTATTAAACGTTTACTGTATGCCAGGCACTACGCTAAGGCTAAGGCTGGGATATGATATAATATAATATGATATATGATCTAATATAATGTGATATAGACAAAAGTATGATAGTCCTCTCTCTCAAGTGATATTGGTACCCTGGGGCAATGGTTTGTTTACCCCAGGCTAGTTATATCTGTTATTATTGAAGCTGTTAGCCTGCTGTTTTTTATTCTTTCTTTTCTCCATGCAGAGAGAATGGGGAACAAGGATTCTACCCCCCTCCCCCACAATTTAAAGGCCCTTAATTAGAAGTCATATGAAGGAGAAGAGTTTTTCCCTAGTGCATTCTCTACACAGACATATTGCTTTTCTGGCTTTCTTGGGCTGTTCTTTAGTGCAGGCCAGGGAATTGCTGCCTTTGGAACTCAGCTGCCTGCAGGGGTTAGAAAACACTGTGATGTTCCAGAGGTGAGAGGTTTCCCTTGGGAAATATTATGGATTGGAACCACAGAATCACAGAATTGGAGTGTTGGAAGGGACCTCAGAGGCATGTGATCCAAAGCATAGCTGAAAGGAATCCCCTTTATAAGTAAGTAAATATACTTACAAATCCCCATCTGTAAGCATATGTACTTACGAACATTGCCGCTTTGCTGAAGATATTTACGTCTCTCTATCTTATCTGTCTCCTCTATATAGTATTACATATCTCTGTATCTGTCTATCTATGTATCTATCTATGTATCTCTGCATCTATCTCATATATAATATTACATGTCTGTCTGTCTATATCGTTTTCACTCTGGTGGAGCCAAGATGGTCACTGCCTTGTTCAGAGTTCCCGTGTCTTTCAGGGTTGTTTTATTGTGGCCGTCATTGTGAATTAAGTCTCTTGAAAGCTCACTGAGGCAGAGACCATTTAATTTTTGTCTCTGTACCTCCCGTGCAGCATATGAGAGGCACTTCATAAGTACCTGCTGATTGACTTACTGGTTTTTCTTAGTTCATTCTTCATCTTTTCATGCAAGTCTTCCGAGGTTTTAATTGCTTGGATTGTGTATTGCTCAGGCAGAAGGAGATAAGAGGCCCTCCAGGTCATAGATGACCTTCCCAAGCCCCTTTCACCTCTCACCTTTTGCCTTTTGCCTTCACTTTTCCCTTTGGTGACTATTCTATAACTCAGGCTCTAGGACTTGAAACTAACTCTGGAGAACATCCTCTTAGGGGCTAAGGGTTAATTATTATTTAATTTAATTTTAAACAAAAGTAAATGAGAGCTGGATTAGAAGGCCTCTGTATTCCTTCTCGGTTCTAAACCTTTGATCCTATGAAATCATGCTCTTTTGTTGGTAATTAGAAGGATTTTTAAAATTTCAAAACTATGTGGGCTTTTCACACTCAGAAAGACTGAAGAAGAATTTAATAACTGACACTTTTTGCAATTTTTTTGCAAAAGTTTCCCAAAGTTTCACATTCTTCTATTCTTAATTGAACTTTGTATTTGGTGAATTTAGACCCAAATCGGTTGCTCACCAAAGGCTTTTAAGATCACAGAGTAGGATGGGAAGAGCCTTAGCTCTGGAGTCAGAAGAGCTGGGTTCAAATCGTAGTGCTGATACCACTTGTGTGACCTTGGTCATGTGTCTTAATCCCTCTGGGTGTCAGTTTCCTTGTACGTAAAATAAGGGGGTTGGACTTACTGCCCACGGGGGTCACTTCCAACTCTTAATCTATGGTTCCGTGAACATTGAATAACTAAAACCAAAAGCCACCTTACTCTTCGGACTCGCTCTCTGCCATCTTTTCTCCTGCATCTTCCAAAACTCTCCAGCTTCCTGCTTCCCTATCCGCCCCCCAGATATACCAGCTGGGCAGGGTCTGTCTAGCCCAAGAGCTGCAACTGCATTCTGTAAGTAGAAAGAATGAGTCACGGTAAGATTAGTTTACACAAGCGGAGCCTGGAATGGCAACCTGATTCCTTGACGCCCTGCTTGCCTCTTGACCGATCTGTTCTTTAATTTCTGTTGGGAATCAAATCTAAAGACAGAGCCTTACAAAGGGACATCCGAGGTGGGTTGTGAAGTGGCAAAACTGATTTTCCCTTCTTGATTAAAATCACTTGAATAATAGTATTAGCTAATGTTTCAAGTTTGCCGAGCCCTTGGCACCTTCTCTTCTCATCCTCATGACGAGCGACTTACAGAGACCCTGCAAGTAGGATAGATGCTATTATTATCCCCATTTTACAGATGAAGAACCTGAGGCAGACAATGGTTAAGTGACTTGCCCAAGGTCACACAGCTAGCATCTGAAATAGGATTTGAATGCAGGTGTTCCTGACTCCCAGTCCATTGCTCTATGCACTGTACCACCTAGCTGCCTATAGCTAGAAATTATATTATCCTTAGGGGGTAGGAGATAGGGACTGAACCTGTGACTTAAATAGGTATAGATGAGGTGAGGAGGAAACTCCCTCTGCTAGTGTAGGTCAGCATCTTCTCTGCAATTTAAAGATAGATCTGAAGAGGATTTTCTAAGTACAAAAACCAAAAACCCTTCAAAAATTATTTGGCCAAAAGCTCTAAATTTTACTTTGATTGCTGGAAAGACACCTGTATTCATCTGCGAAATGTACATAATTACAGCCATGGAAGGCATCGTGGTATAGGTGGTAGAGACCCAGCAACTGGGCATTTGTCTTGCCTCTGCCTCACATATAACTGTGTATTCCTGGGCACGTTACTTGACCTTTCACCACCCTGTGATCTCACCACCTTTAAGCATTTTCAGTTTGCCTTGGAGGAAGAAATTTCCTCACTGGGAGTTCCTCATGGCACTGAAATGGCATGTCTAGTCTCTGATCCTATTATTATTGTTACTATTTCAGGTTTGATAAAAAAAAAATGGCATCCATTTCACAGAGTTGTTGTGAGGAAAAGATGAGATAATGTACCTAAATTGCTTTGTAAGCCTTGAGTTACTACATAGTTGATCACAGAGATCAGAGCTGAGATGCTCTAGTTCACCCTGATTACTTTACAGTTGGGTAAACTGAGGCTGAAGGGAGGTCAAGCAACTTTCCTAGAGTCAGAGGAAGTTAATAAGCAATAGAGACATGTGTTAGCTATTTTTATTATTACTAAGAGGATATTTACTTTGGTGTCCTGAGAGCTATGTGTTGCTGAATTTGGAGTCTGAATCTCTCTTGACTCCCAATCTAATGCCCTTTCAACCCCGCTGAGATTTCTACTAGGTCTTTCATGCGCAGGTTATCAAAAAGGTTTAGACAAGCAGAGAATAACGAATGGTATAAATGTAATATGCGAAGGATAACATTATTGGGAGAAGTAGCAAGAACATCTTGCAAAGAGTAGATGATAAGGGGATGCCAACGTTAGCTCCTTTGTGGATATAGAAACTAATTGCCCAAGAGGATTCTGGGGTGTTTCAGGACAAGGTGGAAAGAGCAAATAATTTGGAGATGCCAGGAACAATATGAGAGTCAGAATTTGTTGGTCGGGGTGTTTGTGGGAGGGGTGATATAAATATTTACCAAAGACTGGTGTGTTGTCCTAGCATTTGACTGCTTTTGCAGGGCGGCCCAGGAGAAAACAACAGCAACAACAACAGCTTTCCATTAGTCCTAGGATTAGGTTTGACAACAGAGCCAGCCATAAGTATTGTGGTGACTCGACTAGGGAAGTATCTCAGAGGTCTTAGTGAGAATGTGTCCCTTTTATTTTGGTTTCCTGTTCCCTCTGCCCCAACATCTGTGCTGTTCTTTTCTCATTTCTAGGTATGTGGGAAATTTGGCAAGAATATTTGACTACTCTCCTCTCGACCCAACACAGGATTTCAACACACAGATGTAAGTGCCAGGTCACCATCGGGGAGGGTAGGAAAGTGTGGAGCAGAATTGGAAAAATTCCCTCGCAATCAGAAGTAAATGACTGAAAGAAACTTTTGTCACAACCCTTGATATCTAGGTAATGGGATGGCTGTTTTGCTGGCTGAAATGTCAAATGTGGTGGTAATTGAGGGAGAAGAAAACAAGCTGGTGGTTCATTGTTTTGTTTGTTTATTTGTTTCTCTGCTTTACTCCAGGGCTAAGTTAGGACATGGCCTTCTCTCAGGCCAGTATTCCAAACCTCCCATGAAATCTGAGCTCATTGAACAGGTGATGAAAGAAGAACATAAGGTAAGTCCATGTGCGGGCACTTACGGCTCTGGTCTGTAGGTACAGTGGCCCCAGAGCTCTGGGAATAATCATGGGCTGGAAGGTCCCCAGGCCTCTTAACAAAGTATAAAATCAAAGGTTTCATTCTGGGAGATGACATTTTTGTTTATACATTTCAAAAAATTAAGGTCCAGGTTTTTATTTGCAGAGTTGCTTTCTCCGTGGATCTTTACATTTGTTGTTGCTGTTGTTGTTGTTGTTATAGTCATGTTTAAGTCTTTGTGACCCCATTTGGGGTTTTCTTGGCTAAGATATTTTCCTTCTCCAGCTCATTTTATGATGAGGAAACTGAAGCAAACAGGGTTTAAATGATTTACACAGGATCACACAGCTAGTAAGTGACTGGTGACAGGTGCTCTATCCTCTGTACCACTTAGCTTCCATTTACATGGACCTTTATATGGGTTCGATTTATCAGAATAATTCAGCATGTCCTTTTCTATAAAATATGTGTGGACTATGAAAATATTCATAGTTTTGTCAGTGTGGGCCCACTTTCTGCCAACCAAGATGGCAGCCCATCTATAATGTAAAAGATAAGAATAGACCAGAACTAGGGAGTTGCTTGGAGCCCAGAGTGGTTCAGGTTTTTGATTAGGATTATGCAGTTGGTAACAAAGTCAGGAAAGACCTCATGTGTGAGACAGACACATGTGAGCTTAGTTTGGAAGAAACCAGGAATTTTTTTCAAGTCTGAAGTGAGAAAGGTGTAGAGTATGTTCTGAGGGGACCATCTCAATTCCCACTCTCACTGATGAGTCAGACCCTCTGAATATGTCTATTATATCCCCTCAGTGCTCTCAGGGTAGTTTTGAAGGGTTGTAAGCTGTCTTCCTTTTTTTAAGAAATAGATTTTTATCAATATCTTTTGTTTTTACATCACCAGAATTACTCCTAGTATTCTTCCTCTTCCCTCTTCCAGAGAGCCATCTCATATAACAAGAAAAAAAAAGAAAAAGAGAAAAGAAAAAAATACTAGTAGAACTAATGAATGTATTTAGAAAGTCTTAAAATATGTGCAGTACTTCACATTTCCCCTTTTCCAAAGGAGTGGGGACTAGAATGTCTTCTCCTACCTCTTCTCTGGGGTCATGCTTGTTCTGTGTAATATAACATTGATTTTTGATTGTTTTGTTATTATTCTTATAATTTTCATTGTTGTCATCTTTGTGCATATTTTTTTTGCTCAGCTTACTTCACTCTGCATCAGTTCATGCAATTTCTATGGTTCTTTGTATTCGTCATTGTCTCTTATAGCACAGCAATAATCGATTACATTCATATACCACAATTTCTTTAGTCATTCTACAGTCAATAGGTATCTATGTTGTTTCCAAACTTTTTGCAATCACAAAAAATGCTACAATAAATATTTTTGTGAATATGGGGATTTCATTCTTATCAATGACCTCCTTGGAGTATTTTCCTAGTAGTGAATTCCATGAGTCAAAGGATATAGGCATGTTAGTCCCTTTTTTCTACATATTTCCAAAATAATTTTCAGAATGGTTAAACCGATTCACAGCTCCACCAGTAATGCATTCATGTGCCTGTCATCCAATAAGGGGGTTGTTTTTCTAATGCTCTGTGGCTCACAAGACCCTACTAGTGTGCTTTCTGCCATGTTGATCAGTTGAGAATCATTTAGTCAGCTTATATAATGCCTTTTGACATGTGATTTTTAGAAAGGGGGATTATAGTAAGGACAGTTGGTACAAAATGTTCCTCCCCCCTCCCCCAAAGTCTGTTCTATTTTTGGATTCAAATCTCTTTTCTCTCTTTCTGTCTCCTTGTCTCTCTCTTCCCTCCTTCTCTGCCTCTTTGTCTCTCCCTGTCTCTCTCCTCTCCTTCCCTGCATCTTGTCTCTTCCTGTCAGTCTCTTTATCTTTCCACTCTCTCATCCTACTCCTGAGAAATTTCTTCTTACCTGTGTCTCTCTCCTCTTTGCCTATAGACACTTACTCAATCCCATATGTCTCTGTTTCCTGGACAGATGTTTTGCTGTTGAATCTTAGAGTATGACCAATTTTTTTCAGCCAGTCCAAACATCCTTCCTGTGTGATGTCAGATAGAGTTTCAGAATTAGTTGGAATGCCTTTGATTGATTTGATTCAATTGTCATGAATCTCCACCTTGTCAAAGTCACTTTAAATGCTCTGGGTAAATTTGGTTGATTTACTCAATCAACCTTCCATCATTACATGGCACAGGGATAGTTTGGAGATGGGAGATGGAATGTCCTAAACCCTTGGGAAATAGCAAATAGGCTACTGGAATATAGAGCATGAGAATGGGAATAATACATAATAAGCCTAGAAGGGTAGACTGGAGCCAGATTGTGAAGAGTTCAAAGAGCCAAACAGAGGAGATTATATTTTGTCTTAGAGGCTTATGTTTTAGGAATATCACTTGGATTGGAGAAGGGAAAGAAAGATTGGAGAAGGGAACCCAATTAGGAGGCCATTACAGTAGTCTGGATGAGAGATGATGAGGGTCTCTGCGTATATCGGGGATATCCTTGATGAAAATATGAGAAGGGAATAGGCAGACCCTTCATAGAGGGGTTTGCTTTGGCAATGAGAAGGGCCACCTCCTCATGAGGGTCAGGGGTGAAGGAGGAGATAGTTGGGGAAGACATCTGAGTGATGTGAGATGAACAGGAGGGGAGAAGAGGGAGCTTTCATCAGATGGTCTCCAAATATCAGGGGAACCAAAGGGCACTGAAAAGATAGTGTGGGGGGCTGCAAGCTTCATCGAATTTTCAAAGATGACTTGCCTTGGTCCTGTGCCTCAGTTTCCTCATTTAAAATGGATTTGGACTTGATGACTGCTAAGGTCCCTTCCAGCTTTAAATCTATGATACTCTGTGAGAAGTGGCACAAGGGATATCAGTACTGAAATGTGAGATCTGAAAAGGAGGAAGGCAGTCATGTAGCCAGTGCAAGGGGTAACATGATGGATAGTCTGAGTACTGTACCAACCTCCATGGAATATTAAATGATCAATCAGAGGACCCTGTTGTATTAGAGATATACTTGACAAACTCGACAACAGAGTAAAGACCATACCTTAACCCCAATTCTCTGTGGCTCTCATTGATTGACCAACAACAAGGCCTGGCCCAAGCACTACTCAATGGTTATTTTTTGGGCTCTGATGGCTCAAAGTGAGTATAAATGGTAATTGTTTTTCTTTGGGCCAGCAACCCTGAGGGTCTTCCCCTCCCAATTTGCTTTTTTTTTTTTAAATTAAAGGGGCCATCCCTTGACTCACTTCTTAAACAGGCTTAATCTAATCACTGAGTGGGCATTGCCCCAGTAAAAGTGAGAACTCATGAAAGATCTTAGCTTAAAAAGGCCAAGGTCTCCCACACAGCTTATGGTAGCCAAATCTTCTTCTGTCTTCACAACATCTCTCTTATATGTCCTTCTATCTCCTTTCATGCCTCCCCCCACCCAGTTCATACTCCTGTGACCTCTCACCTAGACTGTGGCTTTTAATGAGTTCCTATCTATGTACTGAGGTGGTCACGCCCATCCATTACCCACAGCTATTCCTCTTCCTCATTCATCCATCTCCAGGCCATCTAGGCCATCTCCAGTTGGCCTGATCTATATCTAGTTACCAGACCCAGATGGCTCTGGAGGAGAAAGTGAGGCTGGTGACTTTGCACAAACCTCCCTCCCTCAAATCCAATTCACTTGCAAGTCATGACATCTCTTCCCTGAGGTAACAATCGTCCTCTTTGAGAACAAAGCACAAACCACGTGGCTTCTGGATCAGGAGTATTTTGAAGGAAACAGATTTATTGAAGTACTTTTTTGACTATTGACTATTTTGACTATTTAGCAGCTGGGTAGGGGAGAGAAGGAGCTTAAAGTGTAAATCACCACTCACTTTCCAATTTCTCCCAGGAAAATAGGATTTTGTATTTTATTGGGTATCTCCTTTGATCTCCACACCCCCATAACGCTCTGGCATTGTTGCTTCCTTGCTTCTCCATAGGGGTTATTTTAGCAATGGGCCAGGGGGTCCCACAGCTCTTGTCTAGTGACTTTAATTATAATGTAATTGACCCCCACTATATGTACACATTCCAAGCTCCATGGAGGAAATTCCTCTGTCATCCTAGTAACAGTTTTCACTACGTTGTGTCTCAGTTCACCACATGGCATCCCTGACCTTGACCTCCATGGCAGTTTGGCCTTTCTAGGGCCTCCTGGGGGAGCCCTCTTTCCACTGATGCCCAGGAATCTGGTCTGAGGTTTTTCTTTAGGTCCTCCAATCGTCTGCACCTGTGTTGATGGAGATAAAGAAAGTGCTTGCAAATAATGATCCCTGACCATCCTAAGCAGAATGGAGGACTAGCAAGGTTAATTTCTACATATTTCTACAGTTAGAGGCCTGTCCTTGGACTTGGGCCAACTGCTCACAAAGCATTCTCCTTTCTTTTCCTCACCCTTTAGCCTCTCAAAACATTTTATTTCCAGCTCCTGGCTTCTGTCACTTCTGCAGTTTTTCTTTAACCCTTTGAATACTGCATTATAAACAGAGAAGCAGGCACCTAGCTCAGCAGGGTGCAAAAGAGACTCATTATCTTTTCTCCCAAACCCTCCTGGCTTCTGAACTTCCTACTACACTTGAAGGCACCGCCATTGTTCCAGGCACCCAGATCCGTGACCTTACCATGGTCTTCATCTTCTCTTTTGTGCTTACCCTACACAGCTTATCAGTAGCCAAGTGTTCTTTTGCCTTCACAACATCTCTCTTATGTGTCCTCCTATCTCCTTTCATGCCTCCCTCCCCCCCTCCCCAGTTCATGCTCATGTGACCTCTCACCTAGACTGTGACTTTTAATGAGTTCCTGTCTATGCACAGAGATGGTGGCACCCATCTATTACCCACAGCTATTCCTCTTCCTCATTCATCCACTCTAAATTCCTTTTAAAAAAATAATAATA